ACCTTCATAAACAAATTGGTCGGAAACGACTAACTAATTAACATCACCCCACAGAATTCAAGGAGAATCATAATATGTATTTTTTTAACAATAACACATTCCCATTATATTTTAGGTGAGAACTCAGTTACACACTGAGTAATTACAAATGTTGACAGCTCAATATGCTATAACTATTTTTTTTTTTTTTTTTTTTACAATGGATACCAGGGACTGGTGGTGTTTCCTCCTGAGCACTGCAGCTGAGCTGTACAGTTTATTGTACTTTATCCTTGGCTCCATTTTTTTTTGGGGGGGGGGGCTCGCAACACAAATGTGAACTTGAGCCCCCGTTGTGCCGGTGTTCTTCCATCGAAGAAACTCATTGTTTAAGGGGGTTGGGACCAAATTCAGGGTCGCTGAGATCTGATCCCGCTCCTTCCATTGATGAGTGCCGTGTCAATTTCTTTCAACTGCGGCCACCGGTCCCCTTAGGCGTCAGAAAAAGTTCAGAGGCGACGGTGGGAATCGAACCCACGACCGCGGGATCTACTAGCCGTGAGTCTGACGCCTTAACCAATCGGCTGCCGCGGCCCCCTGCTATAACTATTACTGTAGATAGTTTTCTAAAAATTAAAAAAAGAGAAAGATTAAAATGCTGATTTAGTACTTGAGGTCATTTTTATCTTGAGAACTCAAGTAACACCCTACAATTTAAATAATACGTTTTATCTTTTTTAAAATATATTTTCGTACATACATGACTTTCCACAAACAAACTGTTAGGCAGGATTTTGCACTTGCAGTGGTTTGTCAGGGATGTAAGCAGGGTGTCGCTGAAGGAAGATTGTGAAATGCCCAAACAAAGTCTAAAAGACCACAGAACAATTAGGATAAGCAGACCAAATTAATGATCAGAAAGGGCCAAGCTATACCCTGAATACCAAAAGAAGAAACCCACGAGTCTTAAATTATTTTGTTAAGCCATTCTTGTTTTTTTCAGATTAAATAAAAATTAAAATGAATGTGATTTTTGGCAAGAATAGGGAAGGTTAGTAAAATTGTGGCTAACTAGACTTGAAACAATTTATTGAGTGAAATTGAACTATAATCGAACATAACTACTTATTTGTCTCAACGTTCTCTGCGCAAAAAAAAAAAAAAAAAAAAAAACAATTTTCGAACGATTTAAAAGGGGAAATCAACCGGTTATCTCTCCTTCATTCTCCAATCACAATTTCAGTCACCTATGATTTTAGTTGGCGAAATCAAATCTGAAATTTCTTTCTTTGGTCAAGGGAATAAGGGCTTGGTATTTCGTTCGCCGAGGCACGTCGAGAATGCTCTCCCAAGGGCTGAAAATCCTTTGTTTATTACTCTCAATAAGGGCATTCTTATAAGTGCCCGAAGCGAAGGACTTTTCTTTCCGACTGGGGCTCAATTTCCTACCATTTGCCAATGTAAACGACCTCCGTGAGGCGTATACGCGTCTGACGCAATTTAAAACGAAAAGGAATGAGTTAAGCCTACGCCAGATGAAACGGCCGAGATTAGCCGTCTGCCAATGGTCCTGTAATTGCCGAGAAAGCGTTTTAGGTCGGCCGTGAAGTTCAAATGTCGGACAAATGCAACTTATTTTTGTATTACAACACCGCAATTTCGTGCAATTTTCCGTTGCTTTAATCAATCTTCAAATCTTCGGCGATTTAAAATTGGGACGAGACGAATCCTTGTAACTGCGAGTTCAATTTTCAAATTATATATTACTCAAAAGTAGAGAAAAGGAGGAGAGGTCAGAACGGGAAACGAAGTTCGTGAAAAATTGAAAAGTGGAAAGAGTATATCAATTCAATAGTTAGAAAGGATGGTTCTCCTCACAAACAATTTATTAGTAGAACTATCCTTTCGAGAAACTGAACAAATATAACACCTGTAGTTTCGACGTTTTCGAGCATTCTTGAATAATTATTATTACTGTTTTCGTCTATAAGGCACGGTACAATATATCATCGTCAGCAATGATATGGTATATAGATGGCTCCAAAACAAATGAAGGACCGAATCTGGCGTTTTCTGTATAAGTCTAAAAAATGGGCAATCAACTCATTAGGGCCGTACACTTCGTTCTTTCAAGTAGAAATACATGCCATCAATGCTTGTGCTCTGGAAAATCTTAAAAGAGGTTACACTGACAAAACAATCCTAAGATATGATAGCCAAGCACCCATTAAAGCATTAGCTTGTAAAAGAATTATATCAAAATTAGTCAGTGAGTGCATCCAAACTCTCTAAAACATGGGGAAAGATAACAACCTGATTATACCTTGGGTGCCAAGGCACAGAGGAATTTTGGGTAACGAGAAAGCAGACAGACTAGCTAGAGGAGGATCTGCAAGACCGTATAGGCCCCGAACCTACACTTGGGATAATAAAAACAAATATAGAATCCTCCATCGCAGAATGGATCCTAACAAAACAAAAAGAGAAGTGGATAAACTCTAGCGGTGCTAGACATAGTAAACTTACGATGAAACAACTCTCACCAAGACTGGCAAAATCACTGCTGCAACTGGTGAGGGTTAAACTCAGAGGAGAACAGGTCAGTGGCATCTGAGAAAACATCTACACAACATGGGCATATACAACGATGAGCCCATCTGCAAATATATAATGAGGAGGAGAAACAGCCACCATATCATCTTCAAATGCGAAATAGCAGCGTAATGAACATTTAACCTAACATACGAAAAAACTGAGGGAATGAAATTGTAGCAGGGACAGTCAATGACTTGATACATCTAAGCAGAAAGATTGAGTCTATTGCATTGAACTAAGGAACTAGAAAGGTACAATAACCAAGAAGGCTGCAGTGCCTGGGAACCCTGCTTCCTAGTATCCTTATCACCATACCATACCATCTTCATCTGCAGTTGTTGACGATGATGATAGATACTACGATGTGGGGTTTGTTTCACAAGCATTACAGATTTCTGGCTTATTGTACTTAACTAGTTCTTTAGTTCAGTTCAATCGGCTCGAGTGCTAGGTCATAGACTGTCGTTGGTTATCCCTCTATTGAGGCGCTGCTTCACATTCGAAGACGATATGGCTGGCTGTTTCTTCCTCGTCATTGCATAACCTACAAATGGGGTCATCATTAATTATGCCCATGTTGTAGAGATTTTTTCTCAGATGGCAGTGACCGGTAAATAGTCTTATCACTTCTCTGAGTTTATTTCTCTCGAATTGCAGCCATGAGTTTGCCAGTGTTAGTGAGGGTTGTTCTTGCATACGTGTTTATCGCATCTTGCTTCTTTTGGGTCCATTATATGATGGAGGATCTGTGTTTCTTTTTGATAACCCAAGACTGGTTTCAGGGATTATATACCGTCTCGCAGGTCCTCTTCTTTTCCTTACGATATCTGTGTGTCTTGGTACCCAAGCTATCATTAGGTTGTTGTGTTTCGCGCGGTTTTGTTAATTTTGGATGTATTCTTTTATTAACGATTTTTATGTATGCTAATGCTTTAATAGCTGCTTGGCGATCCGATTTTTTTGCCATCTATTATGATTTTCTAAGGCACAAGCGTAGATGAATTTATTTCAGCTTGAAAGACTGAGGTGTACGTACCTAATGAGTTTGATTATTCATGTTTTGGGTTTGTACAAAAAAAGCCTGATCCGTTTCTTTCATTTATTATAAGCTATCTGTGTACCTTAATAAACTTGTATCTGATGTTTTCTTGAATTCTTCTTTTCCTTTGTAGTCTGTTGAGACTTTATAAAATGTTGTAAAGAGTGTTTCCAGGATCATACAGTCAGTCCCCATTTCTAAGCATGGATTTCTGATTTTATTGTTATTGTCGCGAGTCCAAAGTGAATAGGTCCCATCTAATTTGATTGTTACTGGATATAAACTTTTTCTTGTTTCTCCTTGCACAAATATTTCTACTAGAAGTAGGTGGCATTACCCATTACCCCTGTGATACATAAGTTTGCTTGTCTGCCAAATGTTTGGGAGGCTTGTTTTTGTTGAGTTTTGGTCCACCAGATTAGTAAGCCATAGGATAATTTAGGTCGTATTCTTTATCTGTAATTGGGTATACAAGCCGACCAAAACCGAGTTGAGAGGTAACCAAAAAGTCCATTTAGTAAAAGTGCTCTATGTGACCTTGTAAAAAAATTAACAACTAGTTTGGTCGTGCGTGCTCTTTTGGGGTATAGGCAGGCAAATCATACATTTTTGACAAAATAATCATAGGCAGAATTTAAATACACTTGTATTCTTAATTTTCATTTATTTTATTTTTTTATTTAAGCTGACAACAAGTAAAAGGTATTATATTTTAAACATTTAATCTGATACCAGTCGGTGTGGTATTTCTCCTCACAAAAGCTTAACTGTTAAGTAACTTAAATTGTTTATAATGTCAGCTTGTAATAAATTAGAAATACACATATTATTTAACGGTTTTTATTTTCTACAGTTTATTATCTTAAATGATTTTTACGGTATAAATTTGCATAATATACGTGTTACGGAGTAGTCTGAGGTTGGTGAATTACCACTTGGCACTTGATGTGAGGTGGGCGACCAACGGTAGATCCACTTTCTACATTAATGAACATGTACAGGGAGGCCTTATAAATAAATTATACGGCTCTGAATATAGGACCGTTTTACGTTTCATGACCTCTCATAGTGTTCGTAGGTCAGGCTGAACGAGCGAACATAACTTCATTCGCCTTGGAGATGTCAAATAAATACAGTTAAAGAGAATCCCCAATCCGCTATGTTCAATTCAAGAGAAATTAAATTAATAAAATTTTCCAGCTTTCATTATTAATTTAACTGTAAAAAATTCATGACTATTCGGACAAACCCGTGCAAATTTTTTCTCGCTGATGAATGTCTCTATTGTTCGAAAAATTCTGTCATTCTAGCATTTTAAGATAGAAAACTGAAGATTAGCAATAAAACAAACCCTAATCCACAATCTAACATGAATTTTTGTTTGCAGGTATATTCTGGAGCTTCCGGTTCGCTGTGCCTCGACGAAAAATGCCGCCGCCCGGCCCTCAAATCTCCAACCCCCAGCCCCACATGGACATTTCCAAATGGCTGGACATCCTGGAACTCAAACAGTACCACCACATCTTCGACACGTACAAAGGAGTTGAGGTAAAGTCCTGTATTTCCTCGACTATCGACCTGCGTTGTGCCATAGAGGAGGGGTCAATATTCAATTTCCTGAGGCTTACACGGGCTCACAAGCGCCGCACGGATTAGCAAACGTTAAAGCACAACAAACTATTTTCCGAGTTTGTTTCAAAAAATAACAAATTAATGAGAATTTTTTTTAACCATCTTTTATCCTTGAATGTCAAATACAAATTCGGTTTATTTGAATATAACCATCTGATAGGATTGACTGATACACCGTGAACATAAACGATTACCGGATTAATAATTCAGACCTACGGCCTGGATTTGATCTGGAAAGGGATTAAGTACATTACGAGCTTCCGGCATTTCCTGGCCATCCTACCAAGCCCATTACTCGATGCTAATTTACTCATAGAACCCCTTTACAGGATCGTGACTTCCCGATAAGAGGGCACGAGCACGGCCGGGATCATTAGTAAATTACAGCTCAAAGACTCTATTAATAGTCAATTTAAATCAAATTACATTATATTGACCAATGAAATACATATAAAGTTTAAATATAATAAAATAAATACATAACTTTAAAATTGACAGTCAGTGTCAACGAAGATTTATCAAGCTATAAGATGACAACGTTCTTCCTGAAAATTCGATCTCTTGATCCAGTATTTTATATAAACTCAAAAATTTTGAGGATGTATTGAATTTTCACAGTCATACTCCCGAAAGCTAAGCTTTAATATTAGCTCAAAAAAAAAATTATTTTGCCAATCCTAAAAAAGTTTACCGCTGTTAATTTACGGTTGTTATTTAATTGTTTATTTATGTTTCTTTTATTGTCTATGCAGACATTCAAATTTTATATTAATTTGAAAACGTGGCTTGAATTGAAGCTCAGTCATTTTTCTGCCCAAGCTGAACATAATAATAAACAGGTTTTTCTTAGTCTTTAGTTACATTTTTTCTTCCGTAGATACGACTTGTGAGCACGGTTGGTTGAAAAATGGGCCGAAGGACATCAAGATCATTCCATGACTAACCTCTTAAGAAATCATTCTATGAAAATCCCATCAAACTGTCGTAGAACTACTAATTATGCATCTTTTCTTCAGAACGACATTTTTAGACTTTTAATTGAAGAATTTATGAACCTTATATGTGAATTCCGTAAGAGCTGGGTGTGACTAAAGTAGCTGTAACGTCAAAAACATTGTGTTTCTATGAGGTTATATAAAAAATGGGGCCTTTATTGATACATAATAACAATTGGACGAAGAAATGGTTCATTTATGTCGTCCTGCTACCGAACCTGTCAAAATTCTGATGAAAGAACTGCGGTTAATATTGGAAGATGGGCTGAAGACCGTCAGCAGCACTCGATGACTAATATCTTAAGAAATTAATGGGCGTAAATCCCCATGAAACAGACAAAGAAGCAGTTATATATATATATTTTCTTGAGAATTATATTTTTAGACTTTTAATTGAAAAATTTATGAACCTAAGACATGTGAATTTCGTAGAGCAGGGTGCGGCTTCAGCAGTTGAAACGTCAAAAACATTGTGGTTCTATGATTTTACGTCCAAAAGTCGGCCATAATTTCGACAGGACGAAAAAATGGATCATTTATGTCACTCCGCCCAAGCTGTCTAACTTCTAACGAAAGGACCTGTGAACCGCGATTAGCATTGGAAGATGGGCTGAAGTCCTTCGACAGCCTTCGACGACTAACCTACTAACCTCTTAAGGACGCCGTCACCAGAACCTTAAAATCTTAAGCTTAGAACGACATTTTCAAGAAAGTTGTAAAACCTATGATATATCTGGGTATCGAATGAGTTGGTTGAAAGTGAGCAACTGAATCGTCAAGTGATTCTTTTCTAAAATTGCTTGTTACAAAATGTGCCATTTATTGCCAATAACCAAAATAAATCGTACCATTCATTTCCCTTGCCAATAACCCAGCGTTGTTAAATTTTAATGAAAGAACACGTCGTGGTGGCTTTGTAAAAAATTTTCCATGAGATACTACCCACAAAAACCAACTCCGCGGATGACGGTAAACAACAATCTACGTAAAACTTCTTGCAGCTCATCTTGACACTATTAGAACGACAGTTTCCAGACAATTAATTTATCTTAATTATATCTTAATTAATCGGAAAAGTTAAAATCTCTCTTAACAGCAGGTCCCGAATGTAATGAACGTAAGCACCGCATATGTCAAGAGATATTTCTCGGCATGCATGTCAAAAAGAGCCATTTCTTACGCACATAATAATGTATAAGTAAGCGACGAAAAATAATTCTTGAATTACGACAGCGATCAATCTGTGGTTAGATGTCGATCGACCACCTTTGGTTGACTGATGGGTTAGGGGCATTTATTTATTCTTCCTTATTTGGACCAAGGTATTTTCATTAACCCAACAATCTTACGCCAAGATACTGACCAAATTCACCTCAGTGCAATTTGGTTGACATTGCCCGACGTCTGTTTCATTACGGAATCTGAACAAATTTCCTGATCTGTGCTTTAGGCTACCTGTTTGTCAGACCTTGGACAATTTTACTCTGAGGGAGATATTTTGCAAACCAATTTTCGTTACCCTAAGCGTTGCAGTCTTGTTCTATTCATAGTTCGTTAGTTCAGTTATTATATTCTTTTTTATTGATTGTTTTTGGTGTAATTCTTTTCACTTGGTCTTCTTGGTACTCAGTTGTTTCTATTGAGCGATTGATTCATTCACGAAGTAAGAGAATATTATTAGCAATTTCTTCTTTTTGATTGTATTACCTAAAAATGGGTTTATTGACACATAAGCATTTTTTTCGTAACCAGCTTTTTCAGAGCTTAGAGCATATTTAGAGATTTTTCGACCTCTTAGACAAAACCATCGGACAAAAATGACATAAGCACAATAATATGGGAATGAGGAAACAAGTCTATCGAAGTGAAATCGTGAAAAATGAGACAGATACAAACAATATAAACAAACATAAAATCAAACTAAGTCACTCACCTCAACAGTACCAACAAGCATGAAACAGGACGTCCAAAAAAGAACGAAAAATTAGCATACACAAAAATTTAAAATATACAAATACAATACTTTTAATACTAAAAAAATTTAAGTATACAAATTAATAGCAATTCACTACCACATTCAAAACAGCATACGACTAAAAAGAAAAACGTCACAAATACCGACCGGAACAATAACCAGAATAGACTCAATCCACTAAACATGGCTACAAATAAAACTCCGAAATACGCTCAACGGCCCTTTAGATAAAGATTGGACTTCACAAAAATCGGGCAAACCAAAATCGAAAAGCCAAAATGCCTATGACAGAACTCAGCCAGGATAAGTAGACAAAAATGATCATTAAATCATTAACGACCAAAATTCTTGGACCATTTTGCTGGAGGAAAATATTTTGTAAGTCAATTGGGGGATAAAAACGTTTGATTTTGGTTTATCTAATAGTTCGTTTTGTTCCTCCAAAATATTGTACAAAAATGTTACTTATGTCAGAAAGCATTGTATTCTCTTTATGAAATTTTCTCTTTAGTTTTCTATTACAACATGAAATTTGTTTTTCTGTTAGAATTTTTTCTTGGCAGTTAGTTTCACGTGATAAAAATCGCTAATGTGCCGGAAGAACTGCGATATTTCATGTAAATTCTAAGGTCCTTTGACAATTATTTGATGTTTTGTTTGTTCGAAGAATACGTGACTAGGTTGGATATTACACCTAATGTTATTTTTCAACGATAAACACATAAATTGTAGGTTTGAAGGGAAACACGATTTTAGAATATAGATTGTATTATGCATATTCGGGGTAGAAATCAGTTGTGAAAAAGTGCAAAAATTAGTTTTATTAAAGTCAAATAGATGAAATATGCCAATTTTATAAGCGATTTTTGAGAATTATTTAAATGAAATATTATTATTCCAAGAAGTGTGAGTTTCAACAAATTTTGTGAAAAATATTAACGAATAAACACTACCTACATGTATTCAATGTTCAATCAACACATTTTGCAGTACCGCCAATTACAGGCCCCAGCTCATTTGTTTGTTAATTAAATGTAAATAGCTTGAAAATAAAGAACAATCAGGACTCCGCCGTTTTCTTTGATTTATTACTTGATAGCTCTTCAAAACTGTGATTGGCTCTATTATTATTTTAGTCTTAAAATTCAGACGCTTTGCGGTAATGATAGTTTTTATCAGCTTGGACAAAATACGTGTCAGTATGTTGTTTTAAAACAGGGACGGCTATAAATGAATAATAAATACTTTTTAAACGGCTAATAAACCCGATATCAACATATTCATCACGAAGATAGTCCCCCGGATAAGATAAATTATTCATGACGCAACTTTAATTCCTGATCGTTATATCTCGGACAAGGAAGCAGAACTGGAGTACTATACATACTAATCGTTTCGATACATTTTTTTCCAAATTTATTTGAAGCGCTTATACTAAATAAGAACGGCCTTCTCACAATTGTAATGAAGGAATATTTTAAGATTGACGTTGACAAAAACAAAACAAAAATCAATCCTTAATCGAGGATATTATGCATTATAAATTATTCAACTGTGACTAAGGATTAAACTATCAAACCAGAAGTATAACCTGCAACACATCACTACACATTTTTTATTATCATTGCTTAACAATTTTAATTATAAGTTAATCAGGTTTCGAAACATTTTCAAACCGGATATTATAATAGATAATAACTTGGTAAACTTACAGTCCTTGGTAGTGTTTGAACTGAGTCTGCATATAACAAATCCTAAACAGTTATTAAAAACTAAAATTAAATTAAAATTATGTCAATTTATAGACATCTTTACGATTGTTTTGCCCTGATGATTACCTTAAAATAGGTCGAAAGCATGGCAGATAACAATTAAATTTGCTTTTCATCTATTTGACCAAACCGAGATTCAGATTATTCGTGAGTAAAAAGTGATCGATACAAGTAACATATTTTAAAGGATATATGCTAATAAATATTTTACAGTATAGATTATTTTTCAGCAGGTGCGACTTGGAGATAGACACATGTATATCTTCGAAATCTATTGCGGTTCTCCGTTATGATTTGATGTTTAGCTTATATCGATGAGTTTGAATGACCTAAGTGTAATTAAAGATCAACCCTCCCTAAGAGCTCAGTCTTCGCTTAAATTTTCCTTATTTAAGGACTTGACTCACCCCCACACCTTACTTAATCTACAGAGAGAGAATCTATATTCTCTTAGTTTATCAAACTTAAGATGGCTATTAAAAACCCGTTACCAGACCTTAACTTGAACTCCGCAGTTTGGACGAGGGGAAGGGACGGGTTATGTGCCCTTTGCAATTCCCAATCCGCGGAAACAATGTTTATCGCTGAATGTACAACATTGGGCGAGATCAGGTTGTTGCACTTGGGATCTTTTTTCCTCTCTAGAAACACACTGGTAGATCTGTTGGATAGCTCAGATACAAGGGCGCTCACTCAGTACGTCCGCCAAGCCTGGAAATATAGGTTAGACCTAGTTATGGAATTCAATTTTTGACCCCTCCAATTCATTCCAATTTCCTTTATATATTATATGATTTTATTATACCCAATTTTTTGTCACTTTACGTTTAAGATTTTTCCCCTTTGTTTGTTTTTTATTATAAGTATTTTTGACTTCATTAGAGTTCGTGGTCCGATTGACCGAATAATGTTTTTCAATTAGTTAATCTTTATTTATTTAGAAATCGTGAGATGCGGTCTGGTGTGATGTAGGTTTCAGAAAAACATTTTCTTTAACGTGCCAACGTTTCGATCTTTATTGAGATCATCTTCAGCGCCTGGGATTTACAAACATTGTTTATATATTACTATTACATTTTGGATGTGGAAAAGTGAATTTATACAATGCAAAATATATTTTTTATATATTCAATCAAAGTATTTCTACTCACTCAAAGTGTTTGTCTTCTGTGTAATTGTGCCATTCTTGCGTGTCGTGTCGAGAGTGCCAGTGAGATATTGCTGTTTTATGTTCATCACACCAGACCGCATCTCACGATTTCTAAATAAATATCGATTAACGGTCACTAATCACCACACACGTTAATCTTTATATAAGGTATCGGTTGAGATAAAAAAGTCTGTCCGTGGCCATTTCATTTGTCGCCGAGAATCCAATCCGATTTCATGACATTTGAAAAATGTCAAAAAGGAGGGAATATTCAAAAGGTGGGGTTGAGATGGGAAGTTAGTGTCCGAGTGGATCGAGGTCACGATACCTTTGTAAATAATCATACAGCTATATTCATGGAAATAAAAAGCATTAAAAAAAAGATCTTCTTCGACGTACATTGATCCTTATCCCTGAAAAAAGCTAATAAATCTTTGATTATCGGCTGTGTAAGTGAATTGTAAATTCAATGTTAATAGAATAATTTAAAAGTTAATAACTCTGGCTGTAAACGTGACAACGTCCTCAGATAAACGAAATCGTTCAACCTTATTACATGCTGTTGTACTTTATTATCATAATGCGGCCTTGTTCTTATTGAAATAACAAACGGAAGTTTGCTCTTTCATAACGCCGCTCTCTCTCTCAACCTTCGATATTTGCTTGCCATATTAATTTACATACCAGTCCTAGTATTTTAAGTCCACTATTACAAATATTGAAAATACGAAAGACGTGCGAAAGAATTCTAGTGTCGTCGTAATTGTAAAATAAGCACGCTAAACCTGGCACGTATGAATATATTTTATCGCATTTCAACTTTATTAGCCAAAACGGCTTAAACGCCGTTAATTAAACGGGCCATTGTTCATTCTCAGTTTTCATAGCAAGCTTTTGTCATTGTTCCAGGACCTACTTCAGTTTTCCGAGGCCGAGATAAAAGAGCTCGGCGTGAAGAATGCAGCCCACAGAGCCAGGATCGTGACAAGTTTAGTCGCTCTCAAGGATAAATACGAAAAAGGTATAATACCTCTTATTTATTACGTTTTGTCAACTGCTTAAGCCCCCCAAAAACACAAAAATTGGAATCGCGTACTGGCTTTCTAAAACTCTAATTTACTCTAATTTGAGTAAATTTCTATACACATTCTAGCTCTTGACTCAATCAAAGTGCAAAAAAAGCTTGTAGGTGAAAATTTGAATAGTTAAATGATGCTTAAATAATGTTGTTTGTCAACTTCTTTAAAACGTCCTTGGTCTGAGTCAGGGTAAAAATTAGAAACCTATACATCCTGCTTGTTGATGACTCACTAGATGGTCTATCCCATCCTCCGTATTGCTTAGTTATATATAATTTTAATAGTTTTTTTTATTGGTGTTTGCAGAAAAAAATATTTCTACAAACAAGCTAATAGAAAAGACGATTCTGAACAGAATCTTTAGATTCGTCGTTTCCGATCATTTTGTTCCGTCCATCCTCGCTGTTTTCCTTTGTCATGCTTCAATATATCACCATTTTAAGTTGTTCGTTTAAGTATTATTTTGCGAATCGCGTCCTCACAAACCCTCGGCTGAGGACGGCAAAATGAAATGAAAAATAAACTTTATTGGGACGTAATTTCTTATTGAATTATTAAACATTTACATCAACGCATTTACAAAGACCCAAGCCCTGACATGCCTATACAAAAATTTCTATATGCAAAAATATATTCCTACAAAGATAAATGAAAATCTTCTATATTGGAAATTAAAACCACAAGGGACACAATGTTCAACAGTCTCGACGAATCAATAACAAGTGTAAAATATGCATTCGTTGTATAAGAGTCGGCCAAAAAGCAACAAGCTCATCCATCACCCTTCCTCCCTGCTGTGGATTCTAAATTGGCCTAGTTTTATACTTGAAAATGGAGTTTAACGTATAGTCAGCAACAAAACTTTGTAACCAAGTTGACAACATCGGCTTTTACGTCAAATTGGTCAAAAGTTTGTTGAGCCTTGGGAGACATTAGGAGATAAGGGGATCCAGGATGTAAAATTCATTTCATACTCGACTTATTTTTTTATCGCAAGTATCGCCCAAGTATAAAATAAAACTGTAATACTAATGTGTTTTACTTATACAATCGTTATGTACAAAAGTGTTCTCTCAAATAAATTAAATTTCGTAAAGATTTCTCCTTCAGCAGAGTTGATAGCCATTTACTACATTTTTGAAATTTAAATACAACAGACACAGTACAACATTAAACATTTAAAAAAAGTCATACAAAGATTTTGTAAATGGCCTTTTCGTTGAGTTGAGAGGAGAGAGTTGCGTGAAAAAAAGGGCCATGGCCTGCGGTGGGAATCGAACCCACGACTGTGGGGTCTTCGTGTCGAGAGTTTAACACTGACCATTCAGCTACCCCAACGCGAGATTAAAATATGTTCTTTTTTTATGCGATTATGCAAAATGCAAATTCAAATAATGAAGTTAATTCGAAGTTGCAGTAATTAATCAAATTTCTAAATTTAAAATAATGAAAAAAATAAACAAGAATACAAATGAAAAATATTTTAATTATTAATTGTACTAATTAATAGCATCGAATTAATTATCAGAAGAACAGTTCAGTTGTTTCGACTACCTAAATAATAATAAACCCCACCTCTTATAGTAAGGTCAAGTTTCGCGAATTTATATCGTCAAAAGTATTATTTTCATCTTGAAAGACACGGAAAACTACAGATAATATGGAAATAGAAAATGATTAAAACAATAAAAACATATAAATCAACATCTCAGATTTTGGGTTTGGTTTTGCAGCCATGCACCATTTTTATCACAACGTTGCGATTTTTACTGACAAATTTTATAATAAAATAATATATATAGTAGTACACACGATAATCGTACATATTCTTCTCCTCTCGAAGATTGACAATCCAACCAACTAGGTTTTCCTTGTTGGTCGCAGAGTAGACAAAGTCCACAGATGAACATTCAAACCACCTCTTCAAGTCAGCCAAGAGTACTTAGAAGCGAAGTACAATACCTCAAGAGAATGTACATATTCTTCTCCTCTCGAAGATTGACAATCCAACCATCTAGGTTTTCCTTGTTGGTCGCAGAGTAGACAACGTCCACAGATGAACATTCAAACCACCTCTTCAAGTCAGCCAAGAGTACTTAGAAGCGAAGTACAATACCTCAAGAGAAGAAGTACTAAGAGTACTTCCTTCCCACAGAACCCTTCCCCATTCTTTTGCCCTCCCTCATTCCCTCAACGAATCACATGTCCCATATACCGTCTTTCTTTGATCGTTAGCAGAAATTCCTTGGGCCTGCCCATCCTACGAAACACTTCTTCATTTATAAACGATGGATACACGACGTGTGGAGTATGGGCCGGTATAATACACCTCAAAGACCTCGAGCTTCTTCAAGCGCTCAGCTTTCGCTACCACATAACACGACCGAGCAACTTGTCATGTGTTTATATTTATATCATCCTTACATAATATCATTCATATTCTCAACTGCACTAAGCATATATCGAATAAATTCTGAAAAAAAATAGCTCAAGGCATCTATATCGGCATATAACTCATTTTTAGGTTCGCACTTCTCATTAACTAGGGCACCAAGGTTTATATAAATACCTATATGACGCCATTAGTTTCACTCGCTCTCCACTCACTAATGGATTTATCTCTATTTTTGATTCTGAGAACGCGATCACTTTGGTTTTTGGACACATTCAGTGTTGGGCCATAGGTATCACTGAGCTGAACAATGTAGTTTATCATATAGTGCCCGCCATTTATGTTGTCAGCAAGCTGTACTGTGTCGTCCGCATACCGTACATTATTACTAGATTCGGACGCCCCGAGGAGATGGTTGAGGGTTTCTTTAACTATAGCCTCCGAGTCTGGATAAAAAGAAAGGATGATAAAATACAGCCCTGTCTACTTCCCCTCTCGATTATCATGGCTTCTGAGGCTGTTTGCTCACCTCGAACATCAGCTTGCTGACACCAATACAGCTTCAATATTAGCCGAAGTTCCCCGTTGTTCATTCCGGTTGTTATGAAAATGTCGATTAGTTTGTCATATTGCACACTATCGAAAGCATTGCGGTAATCAATAAAGCAAGCACGTTGACGTTCATATCTCTACATTTTGCAATAAAACATTTAATGATAAAAGAGGCTCAAGTGTGTGTACACAAGTTTGAAATCCGAACTGCGACTCATTCAACAAGATTTCACACTTTATATAAATTGTAGTATGTATTATACGTAGAAAGAGTTTTATCAAATCATAGAAGAAGGTTTACAAAAATTTTAAGAGTATAAAAGTATAAAAGAGAATAATTTCGCACAGGCAGAAGAAGTTTTTATGTTGTAATTTTCATAAATCTGACCACACGTTCATGTTGTGTTACAGACTATCATCATAGCATTTCTCAGTTGAAACAACAAGTTTCTGTAATCGTTTTGACAATCGATTTAACATCACGACCAGACATATGTAGTTGACATTAATACTGATCGTTTACGATTTGTTCCACTCAAATTGGGTTGAGAACAATTGTCGAATGCATGCACAAAATGTCTGTCAGTGCTTTCTCTTTTGCTTTTACGTCGGGTAAATCGACATCCATCTCCCCCTTGGGATTGAAGATGGCGATTAGGGAGGAAGAATTGCCGTCTCGACCGACTTTAACGAATTTTGACTTGATAAATTGGTCCCCCTTATGTACTATTAAGGAGACTAATAGCACTAATAGATGCTAGTCGACAGAAAAGGGGCAGTAGGTGTTTTTGTGAGATTCGCGGTATCGGTGGGCGTTGAATTCTTTGAGATTCATCAAACGTGGGATTTACTGTGGGTTCTGAATACATTTTAAGGTGTTAATATCAGTCATTCTCCGTCGTATTATCATTACACCTTAATTGTCCACCGTTTGTATTCATTCCTTCTCTTTAGGATAATCACAATTATTGAATTTTATACCATACCTTTATATACCTTTTTAATAACTAATTTATAATAATTTTATACGTTTTATTTAATAACTGGTTATCCTATGTTTGTTTTTATTATTAGTATAATACATACTTTAAACGAATATAACCACCAACCTGTTGACTGATTTATTGTTTTCTTTCTAAGTAGAAATTTAAAAAAAATTAATTCAAAAACGTGATATCCGCCTCCTTGAAGTGTCGTCATTTTTCTAACCAAAGCTGAAACTAATAACAAACAATTGTTATAGTGTTAGTTGCTTTGGAAATATTTCTTCGGGAGGGAGGATCAGTGAAGCTCGATTGACATTGAAATATGACCGGGATGACGCTCATCAGCATCCGATGACTAACTTCTTAAGTAATCAATGGGCGAAAATCCCCCATCAAACCGTCACACAACTTACAAATCTTAACTATAAAACGGGACTTACCAGAATGTTATAAAGCTAAGTTATATGCGTGTTCCGCATGAGTTGTAAGAACTTCAGCAGCTGAAACCTTTTGTGAAACGAAGATTTATTCCTTGGTCGTACGTCAAAAAATTAATAAATTACGGTCCATAATAACAACAAAGCGAGAAATGGGACACGTTGGTTATTTTGCTGCCCAAGCTGGCTAAACTCTAAGGAGAAAACTACTCGGTGCTTTGTATATTCGAGAGATGTCCTAAAAAACTAAGACGGGAAAGAATTGCAACATCAATCGAAGTAAAATTTGTTGCAGAACATCTTGGCACTAGTAGAACGACAGTTTCACACGGTTAATTTATCTTCCCAATTAATCGAAAAACTTAAACTCTCAATAAGTGGGTGGTGAACATAAGCACCTCAAATGGCAAAAGATTTATTGTTTGCAAAGAATGAGCCATTTCTTAGGAGTATAATAGCTTGCGTCGAAAACTTAAGCGTGAATCGATTATATTGATTATATTTTAATCGATATATCCTTAAGGACGCAGTGAGAACGGCTGGATGAGTATGAAGTACAGGTGACTGCCTTATAAAATACTTCACTGTGTCATTCAGCGTTGACCCATTTTAGGTTAAGCTAAAGATGAAGAAACTGCCACTCGTGTTAGTCAAAGGAAAATCAA